TCACTAAGCACCACGATCATGAGGCCTTGTACGTTACAACCATCTTGCTTACTGGTGGAATTTCCACTTCCAATTACAGTTGTTAATCAAGGATACCTGTATTTGTGTCAAAGAAGTGAGAGGGTAATAATCACAGCACTATCACTTAAATTTTATATATATATATATATATATATATATATATATATATATATATATAGATATATAGATAGATAGATAGATAGATAGATAGATAGATAGATAGATAGATAGATAGATATAGATATAGATATAGATATAGATATAGATATAGATATATAGATAGATAGATACACACACACACATACATACATACATACATACACATTTCTAATACAGTACGTTAACATATTCATAATAGTCATCTCACTCACCTGCATCAATATTTGGGAATAAAATCAAAGTTCTCTTGTTAAAAGAGATGAGGGCATCCAAAGTCAGTTCAAACATCTTTACAGAATGTCTAATGTCTGTGGTCACAGGATGCTGCAAAGCGATTATATACTCTTTTGGTTTTACACCCTCACCTGTGAAAACAATGTAAATGTAATGCACACATACACACTTAAAAAGCAAAATAACTGAATTATTAAAAAAAAACCCAGCAAGCACAGAATTCACTTCATGAACATAGTGTTCCCGTAATGACAGTCGTAAAAAAACAGTTGTAATGTCAAATCTGGTCACGTGATTCCTCAATTTATGACCACAATGACTTACAGTCATAATTCCAGGCTTGATGCTATTTGTAAGCCAAGAACATCCTGTAACAAGATTCCTTTTTCACATTCTAACGTGAAAAGTACACTGATAAAGATTAATCTAGACTTCTGTTCCATGGTGCAGTTGTGGAATTTTATATTATAAATTCTAATATATAATCCAAAGACAAACATTTTTGGTACACCAAGCCAACTGTAACTGCCAACTATGACGGCAAACCCCAAAAGGGGCCAGATAAACTTTTGATGTACTCTGCTTCATGAAATCATAGTCTTACATATGCAACTTATTTACCTAACCACATTCGGATAACGCTCATATAATCCTTATTTTTGGCAGACAGCAACTTGTCATACGAAGGACATCCTGCCAGAAGGATGCGGTCATGGTCTTCACACATAGAGATCAAATGCTGTTCTGCACTTCTTGTGCAACACACGTGGTAATGAGCCAGCTTGGTAATGGCATGCCTGATGGAATCATCTATGGTCCCACTGACTTCTCCACCTTCAATGTGAAGAATTCGAATGTTCATTAAGGCAGCAGAAGTAGCTAGCGCTAAAGCATCAAACCGGTCTCCATGGACTATCATTATGTCAGGTTTCAGACGATTGAGCACATCGGGCAACTTGACTAAGGCAAGACCAACAGATTCCACCATAGCGGCTTCATCTTCCCCTCTCACTATTGTGTGTAACCTGCTGTGGATGTCAAAGTCATCTTGTTCAATCATACGGTAAGTATTCCTGGAAAGAGGGAAGAGGAAAAGTGCTTAGACTCCAGTGCCATACACTTTAACACCAACAGCATGCTAGTTACTGAAATTAATGGTACAGTCAATATATTTGTCTGACAATGGTGGGTAATATTAACAATTCCAATCCCAAGAAATTTAATAATAATAATAATAACAATATGATTGAGGCAAAAGCAAGCAAAAGTAGTACCAACAGGCGCCTTCGGTGCAATCCCAAAACAACTGGGGCACAAATTGAACACCATCGACACTGACAAAATCACCATCAGTCAATAGCAAAAGGCAGCTTTGCTCAGAAGAACTTACATCCTGAGATGGCATCTGTAACATCATTAAACATCCGCATCTGCCTATCCTAGATCCATGGGAAGGACTCAACCAGTGGATTAAAAAACATCAAATCCAATCTAAACATCTGCCTAACTATGGAACCAACCACACTACTAATAAAGTATTGTTAATAAAACCATTCTTTAAAGGCTGTACAGGTAGTCCTCGACTTATGTCCACAATTGAGCCCAAAATTTCCACTGCTAAGCAAGACAGTTAAGTGAGTTTTACTCCCATTTTACAACCTTTCTTGCCATAGTTGTTAAGAGAGTCACTGCAGTTTTTAAGTTAGTAACATGGTTGTCAAGTGGATCTTGCTTGTCAGAAGATTGCAAAAGGGGATCACACGACCCCTGGACACTGCAACTATCATAAATACATGCCATTTACCAAGCACCCAAATTTTGATCACGTGACCATGGGGGGGGGGCGCTGCAAATGGTCACAAGTGTGAAAAAACGGTCACTGAGTCACTTTTTTCAGTGCTGTTGCAACTTGGAATGGTCACTACACAAATGGTTATAATTCGAGAACCATCTGTATCTGCTGTGCCCCACCAAGGTAGGTATAAGCAAGCATCTGTTAAGTGTTAAGGCACCTGTTCCCAAATACTACAGAGTTAAGAAATGCTATCTTCAGAAATTTTTGAGAAATGCAAACATTTCAGCNGTCACTTTTTTCAGTGCTGTTGCAACTTGGAATGGTCACTACACAAATGGTTATAATTCGAGAACCATCTGTATCTGCTGTGCCCCACCAAGGTAGGTATAAGCAAGCATCTGTTAAGTGTTAAGGCACCTGTTCCCAAATACTACAGAGTTAAGAAATGCTATCTTCAGAAATTTTTGAGAAATGCAAACATTTCAGCAAATGAAGAAATATTGCTTCAAAGATACAGTATTTGCTGCGAAAATGAAGAACTAGGACAGATTATTGCTGGCTTCTGCGGCTATCGTTACTGCAGGAAATTGTATCATTGTTGAATCTAAAAAGATAGTGATCTGAAGTATGGATACCTGGTACTCTATGTAAGCCTTGTTATTATTAAAAGAGGGAAATTACTATTATTATAAGAGGGAAAGGATTCAAATATATGAATTAGTTCTGATCTGCCTTGACAACTGTTCATCATTTATTCTAAATCAAAACAGGTAATCCTCATTTAAAGACCAGTCGCTTAACAATTGGTCAAAGTGAAGACAGATTTTAAAAAAAGTTACTTATGACTCAGAGTTACAACTGCTGCACCTTCACCTCACCTTCCACCCATGACATGATTTGGGCTAGTTGGGTACTTGATAACCAGCTCACATTTACAACTGGTTACAATGTACCATGGTCACATGACTATGATTTGTGACTTTTTTGCCAGTTTCTGGCAAAAAAATGCTATTCAGAAGGATCAATTTGCTTAAGGACAATTTGCTTAAGAACCGGTGACTTGCTTTACAACCATTGTAAAAATGGTTCTAAATGTGATGACCACAACGATTTACAATCAAAATTCCGGGCCCAGTTGTAGCCATTAAGTGAGGACTACCTTTGAACCTGGAATAAAGAAAACAATCTTAAGAAAACCCATCCCCACAATTCCATTTAAGCATATCTGAAGAAATAAAGTATGCCTCTTACCCATAGTCATCAATCAGATGAGAGCCCAGAACTATAATATCCAGTTCAAAGAACTGTGGTTCTGCTTTAAGGCCAAACATGATTGGGGCCAATTTTGAATAATCTGCTCTGTTACATGTAGCAACACAAACCCGAAGTTTCCGATTGTTTCCATTCTTCTCCATCACTTCCTTTTGTTTTTGCTTAGTAAGGGTCTTGAAATAAAGCTCCTGAAATATAATTGTACAGAAATTAGTACACTAGGAACATATAGAAGTATATTGAATACAGTAATGCAGGGGTCCCCAACCCCTGGTCCGTGGAGCAATACCAGTCCGCACAAACAAGCAAAGCCCCATCGGTGGGATGCAGGCAGCACACAAAACCACGCCCCCTCCGGTCCGTGGAAAAATCTCTCTCCACGGAACCAGTCCCTGGTGCCCAAAAGGTTGAGGACCTCTGCAGTAATGGATTTATATCAGTTTAATTTTTCCTTCTATTTAGACAAGAAATTCACTGGAAGATTTTGAGTCAGAAATAAACTCTATACCCAATGTAAGCAAAGAACTGTAATGACACAGGAGTGGCAATTCCTCCCTAACAGATAATCATCTGGGACAGACACCCTTTGGGACGACTGCAATAGAGAAGACCCTATAGTCAAGATAATAGATATGCAAAGAAAAATGACATAATGCATTTAGAGGTAAAACTCGTTAAATGAATTTCATGATTGTTCACAACGTATTATTTGTTATATAATTACATGTGATTTTTCCCATATATAATTCTTGCACCAGTGATGGAGAAATACTTCCTCCATAATTTGCCTCCACATTTTTTTTAACTATGAGCCACTTGAATATAATTAGACCAACTGAAGCTACATTATACAGAATATAGACTTAGAATTACTACTTTCAATGACACTAATGGAAGAATCATAATGAGCTGAAGTCAAATTCACTTTAAAACCTCTAGCCAACAAAATTTAAAGTATGCCGCCTACAATATTTTTAAAGACTTCCAAGTATTTCAAGTAATTGGGATTTTTCAATATTCAGTTTATTAGTCCATCAAAAGCAGAAGAAAAAAGGGAACTATTACTCTCTTATAAAACAATATATAACCAGTTTGAAAAAGAAATTTTGGAGAGAAGGTTAAATTACTCTTTAATTGGTTGACAGGATTATGCCATCAATTTTCAGTTTTTTTCAGCTACTGTTACAAAAAACTATTTATTTTGTAAGATGTTTTCTACTTTTAAAAAATACACCTATAATTATCTATGCGTCACTAAGGTTATTTCTCATGCAAAATTTTCCTGAAATGAAAGGAAACAGCAACATAAAACAACTTATATTTTTGCTAGCTGATAGAAGGAAAAAATATTTTCTCTAGTCAGTTTCCCATAGATAAGAGAATACAAAATTCTCACATCAATCCTACGCAGCAAGCTATTTAAATCAGATACAGATTCCTTGGTATACCACAAATACTTAAGTTAATATTTTTCTAGAGTACTACATTTTATTTTGAATTTGTTTCTTTAAATTTGGGGGAAAGAGCTCCTTTAATCACAATTCAAATTTTTGTTGTACTAATATACAGAAATATCACTTTTGCTTTACCATGTGGAAAAGCAACTATAAATCTGCACTAACTAAACAGCTTCCTATTATAGGCTATTAAAAAACAACTTTTCAAAGTTTTCGGTGAAGCAAAATATTCAACTTGCCAAATCTCCAATTTCTTGGTGCCTATGTACAAGCCAAGACAGTAAGGATGTTTTTTCCTCTCACTTCTACATATTTCACTAATATTTAATATTTATTCACTTTATTGAATTTGTTGAGGCCTCCCAACTCCAAAATGTCTCTGGATGGCTTGACCCTGAGATAAAGGGAACATTGTATATTTGAATAAACATGATTCAGATTCTGAAATGCCAAATGTTCATTAACCAGAATTTATGGCATAAAGTGCTTACAACAGAGATCATGTAACTTGAGAGGCAAGATTTATTTTCTCTTAAAGGGAACGAAAATAACTAGATAACAATTTTAGAAATCAAAAGATAATTTTTCCTACAATTCATACAACCCCTCCACAAGGCTACTATAATTGTATAAAGTGGTGGGATTCAGCCAGTTCGAACCAGTTCAGCAGAACCGGTAACTAATTTTTTGTTGCCCAGGCCCAGATTGGACTTCTGGAAGCGGCATCCACACAGAGAACCGGTTGTTCACATATTTGAATCCCACCACTGATTGTATAGCCAAATTATTGAGGTTTTATTCAAATAAAGAACATAAAAACCAGACATTTAGTATTTTTCAGGCTAGCTCAGATCAGTTTTATTCATAAAATAAAGTTTTATTCATACAAGAACCGATTATATATTGTAATTAGAGTAGTGCTTTCCACAGAACAGTTAATTAAAAGTAGAGAAAAATTCCTTTATAACACCCAAAAGAACAACTTTTTAGTAAAGGCAGTCAAATTTGTTTCAATCATTTATTTCACTTTAATACAAAGAAACCTTACTTAGTTCTGCTTTATTGTGCAAGTAAAGATTAAATATTAGCATTCAGTGATATCTGCCCCAGATTTAGTCGATCTAAGTACTCAATGAGCAATTATTAACTCACAAATTACTGTTATAGCATTTTTTAGTTTTCTAATTAGATATATGCCAAATAATTAAACTAACCCTTTAAACAAGAAAGTATGATAAAAAGTTTGGTCAATTTAAATGCTGAATGAGCAAAGGAATGCAAAGTAGAACTCCAATAGCTTAGTAGGAAATTAAATTCTATAAAATAGAAAAGCAATGGAAATAAAATATGTATATTTTCTGAACCTGTTTTTCACCATTCATTTCATTTGGTTTTCTTAAGTGTCAGACATAATGTCTCTGCAGAAGGAAAATAAGGAGCATAGGATAGATTAAAAACAGGCATCATTTATCTAACCGAGTGCAACCATCACAGATCATGTTTTTTTCTGATTCAAATTGCTATTGATTTTTGTTATATATCTTATCTGTCAGGTTTGGTTGCAATATTTTTTTTTCCTTTGAGTTAGAGGAAAACAACTTTAGAAACTATTTAGAAACTGCAATTGGTGCAGATTTTTCGAACTACAGTTTTTTTCACACCAGCCTTAAAATCAATTACACCGACTTCCAACTTGTTTAAAGGCTAATTCACCAGGGTGGTGTTTGCCTATATTTTAGGGCCACTAATATTTGAAAGAATAACTCCTCCCTGCCTGCATTTGAAGTGAGGTTTTAAAAGTTTAATTACCATAAAAAAAATTAAAAGGTCTGGTTGATGGAAACCTCAAGAGTTGTTTTCCATGGCAGCACCTCTGTAGTATAGTATTATTTAGTGTAGTACTGCAGTACTGTACATCCTAATCAAACCTCAAACTCTAGATCACTGGTGTCCAACCTTTTGGCTTGCTTTAGCTGCACTGAATGAAGAGGAATAATCTTGGGCCACATATATAGGTAGTACTCAACCTACGACCACAATTGAGCCCAAAATTTCTGTTGTTAAGTGAGACATTTGCTAAGCAACTTTTGCTCCAGTTTACAACCTTTCTTGCCACATTTGTTAAGTGAATCACTTCAGTTGTTAATTTAGTAACAGGGTTAGAATCTGGCTTCCTCGTTCGGTTTGCTTGTCAGAAGATTACAAAAGGTGATCACATGATACTGCAACGGTCGTAAATATGAGTCAGTTGCCAAGCCTCTGAATTTTAATCACATGACCACAGGGATGTTGGCAACGGTCATAAAGTGTGAAAAACGGCCGTGCTTTTTTCAGTGCCATTGTAACTTTGAACAGTCACTAAATGAACTGTTGTAAGTCAAGGACTACCTGTAAAATATATAATGAAGTTAATGTATATAAATGACATAATAATGCTAAACGTTTACCATCTTGTGGAGGCCACATTACTAGTTGTCTAGGGTGGAATGTGGCCGATGGGCTGCAGGTTGGACACACACCTTGCTCTAGATCAGGGGTGTCCAAACTTTTTTCAAAGAGGGCCAGATTGGATGAAGTGAACGTGCTGGAGGGCCGAACATTTTTCCGAACATTCTTTGAACCATTACAATTAAATGCAAATGAATTATTTTATGCCTCTTTCCTCTCCCTCTCTTTCCTCTTTCTTTCTCTCTCTCTCTTTCCTTTCCCTTTCCTCTCCCCCCTCTCTTTCTCTTTCCTCTCCCCCTCTTTCTCTTTCTCTCTTTCTCTTTCCTCTAACTTTCTCTTTCCTCTCTTTCTCCTCTTTCCTCTTTTCTTCTCTTTCCTCTTTCCTTCCTTTCTCTTTCCTTTCTCTCTTTCCTCTCTTTCCTTTATTTCTCTTTCCTCTTTCTCTTCTCTTTCCTCTTTCTTTCCTCTCTCTCTTTTCTCAATCTTTTTTCTTTCCTCTTTTNTTTTTTTCACACCAGCCTTAAAATCAATTACACCGACTTCCAACTTGTTTAAAGGCTAATTCACCAGGGTGGTGTTTGCCTATATTTTAGGGCCACTAATATTTGAAAGAATAACTCCTCCCTGCCTGCATTTGAAGTGAGGTTTTAAAAGTTTAATTACCATAAAAAAAATTAAAAGGTCTGGTTGATGGAAACCTCAGAGTTGTTTTCCATGGCAGCACCTCCGTAGTATAGTATTATTTAGTGTAGTACTGCAGTACTGTACATCCTAATCAAACCTCAAACTCTAGATCACTGGTGTCCAACCTTTTGGCTTGCTTTAGCTGCACTGAATGAAGAGGAATTATCTTGGGCCACATATACAGGTAGTACTCAACCTACGACCACAATTGAGCCCAAAATTTCTGTTGTTAAGTGAGACATTTGTTAAGCAACTTTTGCCCCATTTTACAGCCTTTCTTGCCACATTTGTTAAGTGAATCACTTCAGTTGTTAATTTAGTAACAGGGTTAGAATCTGGCTTCCTCGTTCGGTTTGCTTGTCAGAAGATTACAAAAGGTGATGACATGACCCCGGGATACTGCAACGGTCGTAAATATGAGTCAGTTGCCAAGCCTCTGAATTTTAATCACATGACCACAGGGATGTTGGCAACGGTCATAAAGTGTGAAAAACGGCCGTGCTTTTTTCAGTGCCATTGTAACTTTGAACAGTCACTAAATGAACTGTTGTAAGTCAAGGACTACCTGTAAAATATATAATGAAGTTAATGTATATAAA